TTGAAGCCAGTCACTAACTACTGGTGTCCTACTCACTGCAGTCTCTCAGCTGCCTTAGCGTAGATCTTACACATACATAGTAAATAAGAAAAGACAAGCCCCCCATAATTAAAAATAAAATTAATCCCATTAAACTAGCACCCTTAAACCTTCAAACAAATGTAGATCCAAACTCAAGACAGTAGATAATATCTAGAAATATTCGGTACCACAAAAGCCAGGAAAGTTCAGCATTGCCTTCCCAAACACAACTCAAAGCAGAGCACCACCCCAAAACATACTGAAGCTGCTGCTGGAAAAAATTATTTACATCTCTCACCTTTGAGAAGATTTTAGCATTCTGAGCAGTCTCAATACTGAAGAAGTGGAAAGTGCAATTCCACGCTCCAAAGGCAAACGGAATACCCGAGTGGACAAGGGTTTTAAACTGGACTTACAAAATTCTCTCCTCTGTAGATACGCTTGTATGTTGAAACACAACCTCAGAGATGCAAATCCACAGGACTGGAACTAGCATTGGTCTTAATTCCCAACCCACTGCCAAATTCCAGAGAATTATGTTTCCAAGGGTAAAGAACATCTGACTTCAAGCAGCAAAAAAGCCTTTGCTGAGAGAGTTTCTCTGCATATTCCGGCAAATGCCTTTATGACTGTTTTGACTGATACACAATACGCCGAGTAGGAAAGGTGCGAGTTTCTCGTTTCCTCCTTCCTCTTTAAATGAGAGATGTTTTCAGTCCAGAGCATTTTGTTTTCCCCAGCTGAAGTCAGAAATGGTATCGTGAGTGCTAATGTTTTCCTTTGCGAATAACACTCCATTACTTAACATTAGCATATTATAACTACATTAGACATCAGCCCAAGCGTAATGGGCACAGATCAATAACAAGATCCTACAAAAGCTGCTTTGTTGTTTCTTCCATCTCCCAAATGAACTGTATCTCCACAGTTTTCTCAGGCTGTTCACATCAAGTTTCCCTCTGCAGATGTCAAGACAGCCAACTCTTGACAGATGCAAAATGTAGATGCTTTTATTCCTTTACATTAAGCCAGTGCTTCAGCAGTAAATGGGAGGCTGAAAGCATGCAAAAGTGCTTTGTTTTTTTTATTTTGAGTTCATCCCAATTATCTCTCTATACTGGTACTTTTTTTTTTTTACTCCATTAACCTGCCATAGCAGGGTGGCAGGCAACTCTCCTATTGCAGCCCTGTCTGTAGAAAGAGCTGCTACTTTCACTGTTCTACCAGCAGAGCTGTTTATATGAGCACTACCAAAACACATCCAGCAAACATCAGTGGAATTCATGCAAAGCCTGTATATAAACCATACAGCAACCCCAACAGCTTGGGCCACAAACAGGACAGCAGGCATTCACCCCTCCACCTTGGAGGCTGCAATTTCCAGCAGAAGTAGGATGAACAGTGAAGGGCAACAGCATCTTCACCCAGGACAGCTGCTTGCAGAGTGACTGGCAGTCTATAGCTCTTGTTCCACGCTTTCCCCTGGGTTTCTATTTCACCATAACACTACTGATGACCTTCTGCTACTGCTTACCTCATCTTTGTCAGCCCCACTCCCTTCTCTCCTAGTCCACTCTCCTGCTTTATTCACACCGCAGCTGCAAGCCTTCTGTGAAAGCACAACACTCTGCCACCACAGAATATCGCACAAATTACTTGCAACCGTGCATCACAGTGAAAGTACAAAGCTATCTTTGAAAACATTTACGTGTTCCCTGTGAATACAGCGGGAATACCTGAAGGGTTTACAAGCTACCTGTAGCAGTCCTTTGCCGCAATAGCAACGCACAAATGATTTTAGTGAGACTTCGCCATCCTCTCCAACCAGCAAATGCTATTTAACAGAGTCCAGCTAAGGGAAACAAATAAACAAAAAAATCTTATCCAGGTCAGCTGATTATCTCATTTCAAAGAAACAAGTGGGACTGCACACCTGAGCTCCATTCAGCCAGGTGTGAAGTACCAAAGGAGAGAGAATCACCAGTGAGGTCATCATCAGCACAGCCCTGGTGAACACCTAATCCCATGTACCCCGGGGACAGAAGAATGAGAGGATCCTGGTATTGAAGCTTTCTGGACTACAGCTTTTGCATCACGCTCTGGACAGCAGCTGTCTTCCAACTGAAAAATTTCTCCCCTTTACAGTCTAAGCAGCATTCCCCTCCACTTCACACCAGGGCTCAACAGGAAGCTGAATAAAACCCGAACCCCTCCTCCTCCAGCCTGCTGACCGTGCCAACACCAGGTAGCATTAGGAAACAGGATTCTTTAGTTTCACAGCTGCCCACAGAGTTTTGAAAATAGCAACAGGGACACTGATGAGTGCAGCTGGTCCTATCTGTCCAGATTCAGTACATTAATAAGTACTATGATATCTTACAACAAGAGAACGGGAGCTAGAGGACAGCTTTTGCACATACGTATGTGCAGCATAAGGCAATGGCTTAAACCTTATATACCTACCAGGGAAATGGTAGCATTGGGAAAGCACTGCTCTGTCACCTTTGTCTAAGCTAAGGTTGCCCAACCAGCTTAAATTGCTGTAAAGATTTTGAGGGGACACATGTAAAAAAGTTTCCTCATAGCTATACTCACAGACAAACACTGCAGTACATTAATTACCTCAGGAGATTGTTGAATCCCCCGGCTCAGAGGTAAAGGTTTGGCAAATACCTGCCTGGAAAAATGAGGAACACCTGCACCTATTTCAGCTGTGGACAGCAGGGCTGGATGCCTCTGAAGTCCCTGTGAGCCCTACAATTCTGCAGTTACATCACACAAAAAAATGCAAAGCATAGTGTTAAAAACTGAATATGAAGCAACAAAATCAGACAAAACACTCATGAAAGTAAATATTGTATTTGTAAAAGAACTCTGCAATCCAAGGAACACCACATGATGCCCTACAATTCTAAAACAAACCCAGGACACCTGAAGATAATTTTCATTGGCCTGCATGTTTAATTACTTCTCACTGAGCAACCCTAAGTATTTCAACTCCACAGCATTGTTTTCTCACCAATAAACGACACCTGCAGATTGGTTTTTTTTAATTATCCATCTGCTGCACAGCCCCAAGACCCTGGCAAACCAAAGGTTAAGCAACCCAGCCTACGTTATGCAGCAGGCAGCAAGATTAGATCATTACAATTCCCAGTGGCCTCCCCCCAGTAGGCATTACCAAACCATGAGAGTTAGAAACCATCTTCTGAGAAACCACATTCCATAGAAACCCACTGGCTAATGCTCCCAAGGCGCCAGGAAAGGTTCTCCCATTCACCGCTAAAAATTTTTCAGTCTACCTCATAAAAATGGCCGGGACTTACCGAGGAGTTTCCCCCGCACGGCGGCAATGGGGTTTATTCAGCAGTCACCTCCTGCCTCCCCAATTAGCGACGTCACAATACCACGCCTAATGAAGCGCTCGGGGCCCGCACAGCGCCGGCCAGCCCCTCAGCGAGGCCCCAGCTGGCGCAGCCCGAAGCCCGGGG